CACACACACTTACGACTTACATACAGTCGAGCACACTCATTTACCTCTGTGTCCATGCATGCACGCTTGTGAGTGAGTGTGTGGGAGTGTGTTTGTGTGTGTGTGTGTGTGTGTGTGTGTGTGTGTGTGTGTGTGTGTGTGTGCGTGCGTGAGTGTGTGCGTGGGTGTGTGCGCGTACGCGCGCCCTCGCGTGCACACACCCTCACCAAAGAGTAAACAGATGCCTGGGCTGAAACTGAGCTAACTTTCAGCTTTTTAACTTGGTTTTGATTGACGCAGTGAAAAAAAAAAGGATTATTTTATCTATTTTTCGTACACAACACAAGGGTACCAAGGGTTGTTTAAGAAAAACATCTACATACTACATGAAGATTTAGATTTCTATGTGTTAGAAATTCCCCAACTATGGACAGAAAAATAAATAACAGCATAGAATGCCTTTTTCATGTACCGACTTAATTTGTTTCGTCAAAGCTCCTTGTTGAATTAAGGTTTTATAAGTTTTCTGAACAAGTCCGAATGACCTTCCGGCATCAAGATGGCGACATTCAGATGTGTGCAAGCGGTGAGTAGTGTGAATTCTGAGCTATTTTTCAAAGTTCTTTTACTTTTGTAGTGTTGTCATCAATGTTTTATAAAGATTTAATTAGCATATTAGCTGTTCAATCAATCTAAATGATTGGGTGATGCTGCTGGGAACACCAACTCTTTCCTGATTGCTGTTGTCGGCTTTGCACTTTCCTTGGTTGAGTTTTCAGTGTTTGGAAATTCAGTTAGGCCGTCTTCGACTTGAGAGGTCTTGGATAGCAATTTTCCAGATATTTGTTTTTTAAATTCACATTTTATAGATTAGATTCTGGTAATAAGATTAGGGTTAAGGCTACCCTATCCCTAGATCCAAACCCTAACCTTGATACCCAAATCAATCCAGCAAGTCAAATTATGAACAGAACAGAGTTAGATTTTCTAGCTCTATAATAGTATAGACATAGATCTAGATCTAGATCTAGACTATAACAACACAGATTTTTCTTTTGACAGATAATTTTATTTATATGATGGGAGTGTATTCAGACCCGGTAACCGGGAACAAAGTCACGAAGTATGCAAACCCGGTAGGGGAAATCTTTTGTGATTTCAGAAATTTTCAGCACCCTCTTGGCTCAAACTCAAAGACTCAAAGTAGACCAAGATCTAGATTTTTCGGTGCTTTTTCGGTAATTCCCACCCCCCTGACATACCGTTAAATATAGAAAAGACGCATCTTTCTGATTGGCTGCTAATTTTAGTACTGTGATGTCATCACTCCCTGGGATACCCACATGGAACGACGTGTTTTCGGTAGCATTTCGGATTTCCTAGATCTAGAAATCTAGATCTAGTCTAGATCTAGATCTAGATCTAGGATCTAGATATAGATTAGATCTAGAAATCTAGATTCTAGATCTAGATCTAGATAGTAGGCCTACTTGGACATGATGGAAGACCGCACGAAAATTGCTGTAAAGACGCAGGAGGATTAGATCTAGATGTAGATATCTAAATCTAGATCTAGATCTACCACCCCACCCCCCTCTCCTGCATTTTTAATCACTAATATATTTTTTTTTTAAACAACAACTTCAAAGCAGCTCTACAAATTAGGCCTATAATTTATGGGACTGTTGGTCAGTCGGGAGGAGGAGAAGAGCAACAAACAAAAAAAACAACTGTCCGGGACCGGAATCGAACCACTCAAAAATCATTGCACGACTTCCGCCGCAGACGTGCTGTCTATTCAGCCATCAGAACTTCCGAGAGAAAGGTGTAGATTAAGCATCATATACATGATAGACACTTCCATCTTTGGTGCCATGTGGTTGGCTATACTTAGATGTAGTCACGTGATCGGAGGGGTATCCTGGTCTGACAAGATGGGCGCCTTACCTAAAAATAGTTTGCGTCCTTTCTACGTTTAATTGCATGTACCCCCCTGGGCCCTTATTTGAGTCTAGATCTAGAATCTAGATTCTACATTTAGACTTCTAGATCTTGATCTATACCCGTTTGATGGGCTGCGAGCTAAGATATCAAACATAATGGGAGGACTTCCGGAACGAGCGACCAGTGTGAGACAGAGCAGAATTGAGGGTTTGGGTTAGGGTTAGGCCTGTTCTTTATTGTGTTTGATGGGGTGGTCGCTCGTTACGGAAGTCCTTCCAACATAACTATAACAACTGCAAAACATCCATTAGAGTTATGGTAGAATTCCCCACAGGATTGGAGAGAGGGATTGCTTGTGAAACTACCCAAGAAAGGAAACCTGCATGAGTGTAAAAACTACAGAGGAATCATGCTCCTTTCCATTCCGGGGAAGATTTTAAGTCGTACCATACCGGAAAAACTGAAGGAAGCCATGGATGCAAAACTAAGAGAGGAGCAGGCAGGATTTCGTAAAAAGAGATCATGTACAGATCAGATTGCAACTTTGAGGATAATAGTGGAGCAGTCCACCGAGTGGAACTCTTCCTTGTACATTAACTTTGTCGACTATGAGAAAGCTTTTGACAGCCTAGATAGGGACTCAGTATGGAAGCTCATGCGCCACTACGGAATACCTGACAAGTTCGTGAGATTGATCAAGAAGATGTATGAGGGAATGAGTTGCAGTGTCTTACTTGGAGGGCAGCGAACAGACTCGTTTGAAGTGAATACAGGAGTGAGAGAGGGATGCCTGCTATCGCCTTTTCTCTTTTTATTAGCAGTGGATTGGATAATGAGACAGACAACATCGGGACAACGCGATGGCATACAGTGGACCCTTTCCAGTCAGCTGGAAGACTTGTACTTTGCCGACGACTTGGCACTTCTTTCCCACAGTCAAGCCCAGATGCAACAGAAAACAGATCGCCTCAGGACCTTCTCCTGTAGTGTTGCACTCCATATTCACACGCATAAAACGAAAGTTCTACGAATGAATGCAGCCGATGTTCCTATCACACTGCAAGGGGCACCATTGGCAGATGTTGAATCCTTCACCATCCAAAAGGCAAGAGCAGCATTCATCATTCTCAGGAATATATGGATGTCTAAGGAACTGGGATTGAACACCAAACTGAGGATCTTCAAAACAAACGTGAAGACTGTTCTACTATATGGTTCAGAGACATGGAGGCTCACAGCATCAGCAGCAAGGAAACTGCAGAGCTTCGTGAATGGATGCCTACGAAGGATAGTGGGGATCAAGTGGTACGATTGAGTCACGAATGCTCAACTGTGGGAGAGAACAAGCCAAAGGCCAGTAAAGGAAGATATTCAGGTGAAGAAATGGAAATGGATTGGACACACCCTGAGGAGACCCCCAACAAGTATCATCAGGCAGGCTTTAACGTGGAACCCACAAGGAAAGCGTAAGAAGGGAAGACCAAAGATGACATGGAGGCGAGCGGTACAAGCGGAAATTGAAAAAGCGGGAACATCATGAAAACAGATAGAAAAAGATGCTCAGGACAGGCTTCGCTGGAGTAATGTTGTTGATGGCCTGTGCTCGACTGGGAGTTAAAAAGGGCAAGAGAGAGAATTCCCCATATTTTTAGGTGAGGGGGGCAAGCTCCCTTGAAACCCCCCCTACTCTTGGGGCCAAAACTGGCTAATAATAATTGCGGGGTGGGAACTACCGAAAAAGCGCAGATTCTTTAGAGTATCAAGTCTAGATCAAGGCAGATGGACATTTAATTTTAAATAAGGCCCGCTCTATTTCTCTGAACGCTCAAGAAAATAAACCAAAACTCTAGATCTATTTCTCCTAACGCGGAACGGTTTCCATTCTCTGGACTTTTTGATTAATTACAAATGGAGTGATCCGTGCGTGCACGTGTGTGTGAGTGTGTGTATGAGTATGGGTGGGTGGGTATAAGGTGTGAATTTGTTTTGCTTTAGAGGTGATTAAATGCAAAATAGGTTACAGTCAAAATCGAGCAGTCTTGTCTTCTCGCAGTAGATCTACCTCTTGAAGGCATTTTCAAATGAAATATAGTCCCAACCACAATTGAAGTATATCTGAATATTCAGACGTCTAAAAATCTCGAGCTCTACAAATTGAATTAGATGCAAATTAATGCTTCTTCCCAGTCTTTGCAGAATGGCAGAATGAAAGATGACGCTGAACTCTTACAAATAAGCAAAAAATCTCTAGAACGGAAACTGGGAAACCGTTTTGAGAAATAGAGGTCTAGATTATTTTCCCGAGCGTTCGAGAAAAAGTCACTTCATTTAAATAAATCATAGATCTAGTTTCGAGGCCGAGATCTAAATGAAGATTGCGGATGTCTTTTCGATGAACGATCGTTTTTCCTCTGTAATGGAGTTGGGGGAATCAATATAAGACAATTTGAAAAAAAAGAACAATGTCATCAATCGAGCAGTCGCCCTCTCTTTATTTCTCTGTCTCTCTCCATCTCTCTCTCTCTCTCTCTCTCTCTCTCTCTCTCTCTCTCTCTCTCTTTCTCTCTCTCTCCTCTCTCTCTCTCCTCTCTCTCTCACTCTCTCTCTCTCTCTGTGTCTCTCTCTCTCCCTCTCTCTCTCCCACTCTCTCTCTCTCTCTCTCTCTCTCTCTCTCTCCCTCTCTCTCTCATTTCGCGACCCTAAAAAATAAACATGTCAATAATGTTGGGCAATTTGGATTCGACTATAGCATGTTCCTCCGCTCAGGCTCATGAATTTACTTCTCACATTTTACTTTGTATTGATCATTGTTAGTGGCCGTAGATAATTAGATTCTCTATGCTTTTTGCCACAATTATTTAGAATTTACCCTCCCTTATATATATCTGTGTGTATATATTCTCTGTCGTTGTCTTTGCCGATGTGGGCACTCTTGATATTTTACGTTTTTCATTATATTATTCCCAGGTGCGCCAGTTTAGTTCTTCAGCTGTGAGAGCTGGCAAACTTGTACAGGTATGTATTTTTCAAATATTTTTATTTTTTGAAATTATTATTTGTATTTCTCTCTGAAAGTTTCTATTTTTGTTCTAATTGGAATTCAAACTCAGTTTCTTAAATCCTCTATTGCACTCTAGGATCCAAAGGAAAAGATTTTTTAAATCTAGGAGCAGTTCTTTTGTTTTTCTATGTGTTCTCAAGACTTTTTCAAATAAAAATTTGTATGATACTGAAAAGCAATTCCTTTGTGTTGTGTTTAATCCATTGAATGAAGCACATTAGCAGAAACTGGCTGACCCAAGTTCAATTATGATTATGAACTACTGTTACTATATGAAGTTTGTTGTATATTTATTCAATTGATTCCTATATATATAATTTTTCTTTTCGATGTTGAAAAAGAGTAGTATGTATGTGCTTCATTCTTTTTTGTTGAATGGTAAAAAATAATAGGGTGAAGTTTCAATGAAAAGATACATTTAAAAATTTTTCACCATTGAATATTTTTTTTGCTCAGCCGCCCATCCAAGTCTTTGGCTCTGAGGGCAGATATGCCACAGCCCTGTACTCTGCTGCTTCAAAGCAGTCCAAATTGGAGGTCGTTGAGAAAGAACTCTCAGCCTTACAGGTTGGTTGATAGCTAGATAGTGAAATGTTATCTCAGAGCGAAGCATTCATTTTCCAAAGAAAAAAGTTTACTTCCTATATTTAAAGGCTTAAAAATAGTGACTTCAGAATGTAATAAAAGGATTTGTTTCATGATCATATTACAAAGGCAAGATGGAAATGACAAAGGCAAGATGGAAATGAATGTCTTGTTTTTATTTACTTTGATTGTATGTACTGTGTATGTTCGTAAACCTGTTTAGGTATATAGTGGTTTAGCCCCTATTATCTGTGAGATCCTTTCAGATATAGACAGAGCCTCAGTGTCCTTTGTTTCTATCCTGCTAACTGATGTCTGTGTTAAATCTGATCGTTTTGCCTCAATCGTTCATTTGTTGTCTTGCATTTTTAATGTATTTTGTAAGACTAAGAGCCTTGTGTCAAACTTTCTTATTGTATTTCAGAATGAGCTGCAGAAAGACAAAAGATTAGTGGAGTATCTCACTGATCCTTCTCAAAGTAGACTTGAGAAGAAAGGTGAGTTCAAGGTTGTTCAGTAATACCACACTGTTATATTACCCATAAATATGAACAGGCTGTTTTAACCCTGAGGTGCGCTAGATAGTTGTCCGGGGGGGGGGGGAGAAAGGCTACAGAGGTGCCCCATGCTAACCTGTGCATGTTGTGACTTGGTTACTATTTCTAAAACGGACCCCAATGCCCTTCTTTGCCTGTGGGCTTGTGGTGATTTTCATTCTATTTTCAGGGGGACTGCCCTGAAAAAAATTGCTGAGACCTGGGAATTTTAGGAAATCTGTAAAATGCCTCGGGAAAGACCTTGAGATTTATGATATGATAATAAGTGAAAATGGTATGCCTCATGCCATTGTGATTGGTCATCAAGGTTGACCACTCTGCTCGCCATATATATATATCATAAACCCACGCAGAGGTCACATCAGTTCTTTCTAGAGAGGGAAAGGATACCATTTTACCAGTTGTGGGCCTTTACATTGGCCTCGTTTGATTCTTTCCTTGGTGCGTCGGCTAAGGTCCCATTCGCCTGAGATCCCATTCATTTAAAATCTTGCATTTTTCCTTGCTCCTGAGCACCAGGATCTTAGTTGGGGACCTGTGTATACAGAGAGAGAGAGAGAGAGCATGCACCGTCATTGTTATATAAGGTGCCCCTGGAAAATAGATGGCCCCTCTGGAAAATTGGGACGCGAGTTTGGCAGTCACCCTGTTTTCTGTTTTATTATTTTTATGTACACAAGAGTACAGGGTCCATGCTCCTAGATTTAAAGATTATTAAAGTTGTTTTTGTGCTTGATTAGTCCACAAACAGGAGACATCTATTTTTGTAAAGGTAAAGAAGTAATGTTTAATTTTTTTAAATTTTTTTTTTCGGGGGGGGGGGGGGGGGGGGTAAATACTTGCGTCGAATTTGAACATTTCAAAAGGTTAACCAAATGTGGAGGTTATGTTTTTATATTTATAGTCTTGTTTGGTTTGAGATAAAAGACAACTCTCTCTCCCCTCTTCGGTCTTGGCAGGCCTGTCCACTCCCATTTACCTGCTGAAATCTTCCTGGAAATGTGCGGGATAACTTTCAGACTTTCAGGTTTTATAATTATTTTGTTAAATCACCTTAAAGAAGAGACACTGTACACTTGTAGATTAAGCCAAAATAATAGCAGACCTTTCTTTTTTCTTTGTTTTCAGCTGCGGTTGAGAATCTGATGAAGCAGAAAAAATTTTCAGAATTGACAGCAAACTTGTTTGGTATGTATTATGATGTTGTTTTTCAGATTGAATAATATACATTGATGCTTATTTTTTATATTTATTTGTTTAAAATATCAGTCTTGTTATATTGGGGGGGGGGGGGGGGGGGATTTATGATACTTTCATTTTGATACCAGAAGGCTCACAGCCCAAATAGAGCCTAGTTAACTCACTGGCTACCCAGGAAAACAAATCAAATGTGAATTGTATGCAACTATAATGTTTGTTTGTGGCACATACCCATAGAGAACACAAAAAGGACCAGCGATGGCAACAATCTGTCCAATTGTCACAGTTTATTACTGCCAGTAACTCTACTTTGTGTGATAAACGCAGAAACATTGTCCTATGCACAACGCACTTGGCACTTACAGCACCAGCTGTCCGTTTCTACACTTTTCTTATTTTGGGGTAAAGGGACTGTTAAGCCTTTGATCTGTTAAGGTGCGGAAGTGGTAGGTAATCTATATATATATATATAATGCTGTGTGATAAGTGCACCTTTTACTTGTAAGCTCATATCTGGGCCATTCCATGAAAAATGAAACTACAGTGACACACACAGCATGAAGATGATGACTTGCTGAAAAAGAAATTGTAATCAGTAATAAAGCCATTCTTTCTTTATTTTTTATTAGTGGCAACTTTCCCCTAACACCCCCCCCCCCCCCCCCCCCCGGTTATTGTTTCATTTTTCATGGTATGGTCCTGTTATATTTATTCCCCGTACCATGATAGATCTCTTATGTTTGTACCTTTTCTTCAAAATGTAGAGCTTTTAAAACGAAATGTTTCTCGTCGTAACCCTTCATGAACAGGATCTACAGTCTAGCACATGTATAGGGAACATGCACACAGCTAACTGTTTTTCAGGTTCCAAATTTTTTCTTGTAGTCAAATAAATTCAAAACATGCTCATAGTGTTAACAATTCATATAAAGGGGAAATTAAACACCATGACAAATGTAATTTACTGAAGCAGCCATGAAGAGGGAGAGCAGGCATGGTATGAGTTTATGCTAACAACCTTTATACGCTTAGAGCAATAGTATAGGCCAAGGATTCTTAACTGCGTACGCCTCAGAAATGTTCAGTGGTAGACGTAACCCCCTTCGGTTGCATGCTCCTACTACTTCCTCACCCGTCAAGAGCAGGTTGTTCTGTTAAGACTGAAAGCAGGGCACAACTGACTGAAACACCACCTCTACACGTAATTCAAGATAGAAAATTCAGAGCAATGTCAGTGCGAAACCGGCAACCTAACGAGGTTAGACTGCTACAAGCATGCTCAAGGCACTTTGAAGGAAATATTGGCCCAGCCCAAGGCAGAGAGACTCAAGTCTCTATGGGGGGCTGGAGGACCTGCGACGAATAGCAGCCTTCACTTTAGAGATTGGGATTCCCAAATAAAGATAAACTAGAAGACAAAGAAGTTGCTTATAATGAGTCTGTGGTCACGTGAAGGCATGTATCTAGTATTGTCATCACGTGTGTCTGCAGGTTTCCTCTTCAACAGATTTATTCCCATCAGTTTGGTATATAACAATACCTATTAGAGTAACTTAGAGCTTCACAGTAATGCATTAAATAGATGCACCCCAGGTCTAAAACTGAACAGGGAAAAATAATTCTGTCCAGAGGCTGAAAAAGCATGGACGGAATCAGTTAAAGTTATGGTTAGTCATATGTAACTCAAGGTCATTGAGCAAGTTGGACATGTCAGGCAAAATATAGTCTGGAAAATGCAGCCAAGGACTTAAAAGAGAAGTGACAATTGACTCATTGTGCCTCCTCAGGTGCCCTGGTAGAGAATGGGAGAATCAACAAAACAGAGAATGTGTTGTCTGCTTTCAGCAAGATCATGAGTGCTCACAGGGGCGAAGTGCTAGCCAATGTCGTCACTGCCAAGGTGAGCTGCTGCTGGTTCAAAAGAGTGTTGTGGTTTTTTTTGCAGGACGAATATGCACTTGTGTTTTGTGTCATTTTATTTTTTAACCCTCATCCTGCGGGAGCCGGGTTTATGTCGCCCGATAAGCCTATTTCGGCACCTCGCCTACGTTCTGGTCCCGAATCAGTGTAGCCCCTGGCTCAGCGCACGCGCAGCGCGCATCCTCTTACGTGCCATTCAGGTCCCGAGTCGGATCCCCATTCACGCAGGTCAAGTGTGTGTCCGTCAGTCTGCTTGAGTTTGTGTTCGTTTGTGGGCTTCTTCTAGAACCGCCTGCGTTGGTTCGTAATCGAGACATACGTGTCATTCAAAACATGCCAAATTGGTAGCTCCAGATGCTCGTCCAATGAAATTATTTAAGAAATTGACCCACTTAGACATGAGGAGCTCGAAAGGATAGTCAGGAAACAAGATTTCCATTTTTCTATACAAAATATTTCAAATGAGCTTGATTTTGTATGAAATGATACTGCCTGATAAAAAATAAGCTTGTTTGATAGTTTTGAATACCATTGTGCAGGTACAAAGAACAATTTGAGGGTAAAACATTTGGAAATTGACCTAAATTATCCCCTTTTGAACCTCAGGTCATTCATAACAACAAGAGCGTCCAGAAAGGTTATTCGAATGTGCGTAACTACTCGTAATGTCTTATCAGCTTGTGAGAGGGGGTTATTCATGTGTTTGTAACACTTTATAAATAGAAAGCTATGACAGATACAGCGTTATTTTCATCATCGGTTAACATACTCCTGCGGTATTCATGGCCAAAACACATGTTTCCCGGCGCGAGCACTGTACACCAACAGTACACGCTGAGTGACCCCGGCGGCCTGCCCGGCACGTCCGACGTAATCGGTTGCTGATAAGATACGCATCTGGGCACAGACGCAGGATAAGAGTTAATGGTAGAGGGGTGTAAATTGTAGACAAGACACCGTCAAACCTTCTCTAACAGCCACCTGTCCAGGATAATCACCTGTATTAATTCTTTATCTCCGGGAGCGGCTTGCGTCAGAAATACTGTGCCAGTGAGCCACTGACAGCGGCTCGGGCACATTCTTTTATGACGACTTCGACATCAAATTACTTTTCAGCTATTGCCAAAAATAGGTCTTATATTGAAAGATTATTCATTAGATGAAAAACTATCGAAATAGGTTTGCTAGTTTCGATTTTAATGACCTATTAAATGACGTTTTTGTCATTGTTATATTTAGCACCAAAAAAGC